AATAGGGCAGTGGCTCTCGCAAACCGTCGGCTTTTCATAATAGCTAACATATTAAGATTTAGATGAGATTTAGGTGTTCCTTAATGTGGGTCTCATTAATTAAGCCTGTTCGTGTTTCTTTGAATACTCAACTTGACCACATTTTAATTTCATCTCAAAAAACATGTTTTAATTTTATATTATTTGAAGGTAATCCTAGTTATCAGTAAAGCTGTTCTTAGCTCAACTTTTACATTAGTTACTTACTACAAGTTAATACTTTCAAGGCTCTATGCTTTAAATATTTTTCTTACAATTGTGGATGAATTTTGAAGCAAGAAAAAAAATTCATAGTGGTATCAGAGATAGTAAATCGACATAGAAATATAATGTAATTAGCGGTTTCCCGTCTTATTTGACTGTAAAATTAACCAATTCAAGTTTTTAATATCCCGCTTCCCGCTTTTCTACCCCTATAAATTTTTCAAGCCGTTCTTTAATATAACAATTCTATAAGACTTATAAAACAATACTAACAAAGTATAATTAAAACCTAACGAAGACATTTTTATTCTAAAACTTCAAAGATGTTAATGCAATGTAAAAATTGGTAGTAATACTTCAACAAATACACTTTGATGAATTTTATTTTCATGTACTACGTACGATAAGGCAGCATTTACGTAATTATACTGACTTTGCTTTAACTCACTAAATAAACGTCGTAGTGTGTTGACACGTTATGTTAATTATTTTCAGTTAGAAATTTTCCATCCATTTTTGACACTTCTCGAAACAAAAAACTTCTTATTAATAATATTTTCGTTCGAAATTCATGAAGTTTGTTTGGTCAAATAGTACGCTCTAAAATGTAAAAAAATGTAGTGATGCTAAAAAGTAACGTGCGTTCCTTACACCACAAAATAGTTGATAATCCTAAAGGGTCATTTTGACTTGCACTTTCTTACGTTACAATAAATAAAAAAGAATATTTGTTAAAACTTAAAATATTTAAAACCAAGGAAAAACTAAGGAAAGGGCCTGGATATCTCAGGGTGATCGTCTGTTACAGCACTAGATTGATCGGGAGAAAAACTACAACGTCTAAAGCGTTGGAGCTAGTTGTGTAGCTCTTTCTCAACGTCTTCTGATGGTACACCAGATACAATAATGTCTAAAGCACTTTCCTTTTTTTCAAAGGTAAGTTGTTTTGGTGATCCAAGTTGGAGAGATTGGTTTATGATGCTCACCTTTTGGAGATGGTCCCGTTCGCTCAAATTTATTTTTCCTTCATAGCTTTACTGTTAGGTTTGCCCAGCGCAAACTTTGGAAAGGATCGATAAATCCTGGTTGAATGCCTAGAGCCGAGAGGGCAATGCAGGATTGACGGTAGCCAGAGTATCCAGCCTCGCAGCGAAAATTTTCGCCCATAACATCTGCTGGTAAATGACTGAGTTTAACGTTAAATTAGGAGGATAGTTTAACGTTAAATGGTCCTTTAAAAAAACTACTAATATTTATGGTTAATTAGGAAGCGTAAAAACTTGTGATGGCCCTGAAAAGGGCCAATGGTGATACTTTCAGTCATTCCTTATCATTTATGTCGATGATGAAGAACCAGCTGCAGGTAGCTTAACTCTCACCCTTGGAGTCTCTTCGTACGGAGACCGTGCTGGAGGGAAGTACGCCCCTGGCTGAACAATATCTCGTCTTTGGGTCGTTTTCCGGATAACTAACCGTTCACCATTGGTCAGGGAAGTGGGCCTTCTCTGTGAGGCAGCCATCAGGACAAATTACTAAGTAGAAGGCTGATGAAATTTACAGCCTGCAGTTGCACGAACTCCTCAGAGTTGTTTCCTTGGCTTGCTGTTGTAGCAAACTCTGCTCTAGTAGCACCAACTTACCTGGTCGATTGGAAGAACAGCCACAAAACCCTCACGTGTGAGAACAGACTGTGCTGTGGCTAGACATTTCTTGGTATGATGCTGAGGACGTTGGTGTTTAGTATACCTTTTATTCGTGTCACTTTTTATTCTTTGTGGTTCAGGATGAAATTTGACATAAGTTGCTTGTCCGTTGGAAGATTTGAAGGAGAGTGTCGTCGGTAGCCGGGATACTCAGCTGCATGAATCACAACTCTCTTTTGGATGCACTGCCAGTGAAAGAATATGGAATCTAGTATTTTGCTAAGGGATATTATAACCAGACCCACTTCTATTGTAGGTAGCTTCAATTTTAATCCTTCACCACCTAACGGTCCCTACTGAATTAAGTGAAAAGCTAGCGTATTTTTGTAAAACTTTTTATTTATTTCTTCAAGATAAGAACTATACAAAAACTATGTAGAAAGTGTCATAAGTAAGTTTGCAAAATTCAGCCAAATCGATTGAGTAGTTTTCGCGGTCAGCGACTACAACGGTTTTTGGTATGTATATTGCTTTGTGTATTGTTAAGGTAAATTATTTCAAGTGGCTAAATTATAAAACTTTAGGTACAAGAGTCCCTTGATTAAGATTATGGAATCGTAGACTAACAGATATTCAACATTTTTATAACTGTAGATGATTCTCAACATTTCCAAAAAGCTGCTATGTTAAAATATCACAAGAAACTGAATCTTTTTGATAGGAAACTAAATTTTCTGTTTTCAGAAAAAATTAAAATGTAGATGTTGAAATAAAGATGACTTTATACTAGAAAAAATTAATTTAAACGTGACTAACCCTGCATTACTAATACTTAACAGGGTTTTGATTTGACGACTTATTTAACATTACGAATCATATAAATACATGTTTGTCACGATGTCATGTTATATCTACATTTGCTTAGATTAACTGATTTTCATGTACGCTATCATACAACTTCTGAGTTCTAAATAATTGATCTTTCAAATAAGGATTTTTTTGTCAATTAAAAAAATTTTTCCTTAATGCTTTCAATAATAACAATAATTACAATCCAATCAATTATTTATAAAAATTTAATATCATTGAAAGGCGTTCAGAAGCCTCAAAAAGTTGTGGCCTTTTTAATTACTACGTTACGGGGCTTCTAATCCTATCCTAAAAAATTGGTTGCTTTGTTTTACAGCTTTTTTTATTCGTTGAAATTAATTCTTTATGTAAAATATGAAAACTATGTAGTTTGATTGTACTTCATTTTTTTTTACTTAAAAAAAAGTAGACAAGAAACTTAATGTACTTGTTGAAAGTTAATTTCAAATTGAATTATTTGTCATTTGTATCCGTAAAATACCACTTATATAATCTTATAGAAGAAAATGTTTTTTTTTTCCATGATTAAATTATACTTATATAAAAACTGTTTAAATATCTAACTGACATCAATACAAAAATTTTATGGGTGAAATCTTCATTCATTTAAAAGTAAAACGATTTTTATTTTTTACATGAGTACGAAGTAAAAAATGTTGTTTATGTGCAACATTTGTACTAAATAATTCAAGAACCTCATATTAAGATGTGCAGTTACCCACTGTTATGTCGGTCTTTCCGGACCATGAAGCGGTCTATATTCAAAAGGATACACATAGCTGCAGTAAGGTGTACGTAACTTGTTAAGATCATGCAAACATTATAGATTTTTATTTAACCTTTCATTCTTTACATTTATAAATTCAATAACTTATCCTGACAAATTATTTGTTTTCTCAAGGACGTGCATAGTATTTTTATATTCTTTTCAAGCCGTTTAATTATTATGGCTGAAAAACAGAAAACATAAAACTTTAGTTATACTGCTCTTTTTAAATGTGAGAGAGGCAAAATTTTAGGAAAAATATTTTTGTACGTTTGTATTTAAGGTATACTTCATGGCATGAGCCAACCTATTTAATTTCATTGGATATTAAAATCCTTTGAATACTTCTAAATTTGGGGAACAACGAAGATTAGACCAAAATTTAAGTTACTGCTGATTTTTCAAAGAAAAAACACGAGTAAATGTAGCACATGAAAACTGTATGCAGGAGTTCACTGGAGATAATTTAAGGTTATACAATCTTTGCAAAACATTTTCAGGAATTTCCTGATTAAACATTATAAGACAGTAAANCATACAGTATAGTTTTCTCTTATGAGTTTCAGTGTGGATCGAAAAATTAATTTCGCAGCCGACTCTTTGAGTTAGACATAATGTATAAATTAAGAAAACAACTTTATCTCCAATAAAAAACAATAATTTCAAACGTAGCAAAAATATATTTTTGAGCCAAAGTAGGTTTGTTTATCTTATAATTTTGTTTTGAAATTTCATTGAAAACTTAAAAATCAAGCTTTAAAACTGAAACTATATCACAGCTGCTATATAAAAGTAGATAAGTTTAAATACAGATAAGTCTAAGTACACAAAACTTACTATTCCCGCTATTTCTTTTTTTTGCTTAACAAAAGCCTTTGGACTCGGTGATCGCTCTAACCTGATGTGCATTAATAGCGAATTTTTGATAAGATTTTTGATAAAAAGCAAAGTAAATATCCCATTGTTAGAAAAAGAGCTCTCATGTAAGGAAAACGTTTTTTTTCTGTTGTACTAAGAAACATTTATTTTACAGGTACCTCTTGCGATTTAACGTTCGGAAACGGCAACACTTTAGTTCTCGAAATAAGGGATAAAGTTATAGTTCCAACTCAACCAAAGTATACAAAAAACATACTCTTAATAAAAAAAGTCATTATGATTTCTAAAACTAACCGTAACTCACGCTTAGTGCGTAGGGTTTTTGCAATTCTGAAAATGAAAAAAAAAAAAATTTCGATGGACAAATCCATATGCAATTTTAACCATGTACATAAAAAAAAAACAATTTGAAAACAATTTTTTTTTATTCTAATAGTACATCTGCATCAGCTATGCATACAAAAAACAGAAAGCATCATTATAACAAATATTTTTATATGAAACAAACAAATTAAGGAGTAAAAAATGGGAAAACAAATTAAATTGTTTATCAACATGACCAAAAAATATGAAAAATAAAACATTAAAGCAATGGTTACCAGGATTATGAATAAGCCCAGGAACTAAGTCCTTGCAGTCTTCTAACTCAACAGAACCATCAGCTTCAGAAATAAGTCTATGCAAAACTGCTTCGTTTTCAATAGGATTTAAGGAACATGTAGAGTACACCATTTTTCCACCAACCGCCAGCATCTCAATTCCTCGTTTAGCTATCCTATATTGAATTCTGAAAATTTTTTATTATTTTAAAAGTATAATTATCATACTTGATATCTTTGATATAAGATTTTTTTACACTTTACCCATGAAGATTATTTCCGTTAGCTGGATTCCATTTACTCCAAATGTCTGGGTTTTTCCGCATAGTAAAAATTAAAATGTAGATGTTGAAATAAAGATGACTTTATACTAGAAAAAATTAATTTAAACGTGACTAACCCTGCATTACTAATACTTAACAGGGTTTTGATTTGACGACTTATTTAAGAAAGCATAAATTGTTTGTTCATAGAAATCGAAATTACGAAATTTATTAAATAGATGCGCTTACATAATCATAAGAATACACAAGTGGTCTTCAAATATACGTTGTGTTCTGTTTGTCCGGTTTAATTTAGGTGATAAGCGCTTGATTTGCTCAGTCCTTGGATGATAGAGCCAAAGGACGTGAATATATTGTAAGAGTGGGCAAGAGAGAGAGAGAGAGAGAGAGAGTCAGATAAAGAGAGAGAGAAATAATACAACAGAATTGTGGGGTCAATGTACAGTGATATTTATTCAATTTCTTCTGCTCTAGCTACTACCATATCCGTAAGTTTCGCCGAGCGAGTGAAAACACAGGTGATCTGGGTAGATGATTTCGAGCACAAGCGCAGAACCTCTTATACACTAAAAGCTACTTTAGTACTGCGGTACCAGCAAGCACAATGTTTGAAAATTATATTCATGAAAACGACCTTAGTGAATAAAAAATTATTATCTATTTTGAAAACTAATCATTAGTAAAATAATACCTTAGGGATAACCACTATAACGTTTATTGATGTCAAATTTTTTTGCAATTAGTCTCTCTTTATAGTATAAGTGGAATTTTAGTGATTTGAAAATAAAATTAATGGTGAAATTCTAGCATAAGACTAGTTATAAATTGCTTTATCTGTTGACTACATTTATACTCGTGAGTACATTAATTAAGAGCTCTTTTTGTACAACCATTATAGGTTGGATAACAAAGTCACATTAAACGTTACTTATAATCAATAATCGTGTTAGATTATTAGTGGTAAAAAATTAGTGATCAAAAGTGGAACAGCAATCAAAAGCCAGCAAAAAAATTAGAGATATACTTACACGCTTATAAATATAATTATATACCTACAAAACAAAAAAGACGCAGTTTAGCATTGCTTTTACTTTTTACTTTTGCTGATTTAACGACAGTTTAATAGGTATATACTAGTAAGACTCTGCCCCCTGCGCGCAACACGCGCTAACTCCCAACTATTCTGACTTAAGGAGGCTTAGGCAATTTTGAATTAAATGATGGCTAGCTCTGAAATTCATAGATTATGTAAATGAAGTACACCAGATTTTTTTTATAAAAAAATAGGTAGATCAACACATTCATTTTTTAGAAAATCGCTTGTGAAAATTCGTCATTTTAACACGTAACCTTATAGAACCCGGAATTAACTTGACTATTGTACTGCAATAAAAAGTTGTGGGCCCTGAAGTCGAATTAGTACATATACTTTTAATTATAAAGAATTAATTACTTTAATTACCAGTGGACAGTGGGTGCTAGGGTACCCAAGTATGAAGTTACACTTCTATAAAATTACCTTCGATGAAACAATATTGTGTAAGAAGGTTATGTTGTGGTGCAATCATCGTGGGAATGAGTATACCTAAATTGATTGGGTGTGATTTTAATTAATGTTTAATGAGTTAACGATTGTAAAGAATACATCACGGCACAATACAATAAAAACAATATATAGGCTGGCCCGTCAAAGACTTCGCCCTTTCATCGAATCTTCCGGTGATTTAAGAACAACATTCTACTGCCTACGCTGATTAAATCTGTAACGTCACGCTTACATGTATCACGTACGATCCCACACTTATTTCTCGTCCATATTTAATACCCAAAATATAATTGCATCATACAGTATAGTTTTCTTCAATGGGGTGGTACTACATGCCAGTGAATGTCCTTTCAGGACGTTCATCACACACAGGTTTTTTTGATAGATATTATTCGAAAAGTTGTGCGGAAAAGTTGTGCAGAAAAGTTGTGTGAAAAAGGTTTTATTCGCACAGTGTGCGAAAAAGATTTTTCCATACACCGAAAAAAATTTTGCTACACACCAGAAATCTCTCAGAAAACGAATTAAAGTACCGTCTGTGTACAGCTATCGTAACTCTATCAAGTGTAAGTTTCTACTCTCAAATAAAATTCCTTCTTAATGAGTTTTTTTGATAATTCCATAAAACTATATCATATTAAAATTTTAGAAAATTTCGTTGGAAACCACAATCCCATTGTGTTGGTGTGGAATCCTTTAACATACTTTGTTACAGTTGTAAAATTGTTTGAAAATATTTTTGTTTAAATATTTTAAAGTTTACTTTTTAGAATGAAATTTTAATGTAGTCAAATTTCTGTTTCTACATTTAAGGCATAAAAATACATTTTTTTTTGGACGATCATTTGGTACTTTTGCAATCGGGGGGGCTTTGCCCCCCCCCATACCCCCCACCGGGGGCTCCACCTCCTGGTTTTCCACCAGGGGTTGCTACCCCTGGATCCCGCACAACCTTCTTTGCAAATCATCAACTTATTTACTATTTTCCTTACACTTATTGCGAAAAATCTTGTACGCAACTCGTGCGGGACGATTTTCTACACTCGTGTGATAGATTCACACTCGTGGCTGGTGACGGTAACTCGTGCCTTGTAATCACGAGCGAATGCTCAACTGGCACTCGTTCCCGTCAACTTCCGCCACTTGTGCGAGTTAAACACGACTCGTGTGGAAAATCGTCTTTTCCGCACTTGTTACGTGAACAACTATTGTAGGAATTTTCTTATTCTTTGGGTACAAAAGATTCCTTTTTAAAAAACCTATCGAATTTTCAAATAGACCCACAAGTTGAATTTCAAATAAATTTAGAAAGAGGGAATGAGGTGTGCGTGAAAGCATGTATGTGAGTACATCCAAGAAGAAAAACAATTGCTTGCTTTACTGTACACATTAGCGTTCCTGTCATTTCTCTAAACTTTCCCCCACAAACTATGTAAAGAACGTCCTTCAGTCAAAAAATCACTTCAATCACGAATGAAAAAATTTTGAAAGACTAAAATACAATAAAAACCAATCATTGTTTTTGTACAGTACAAAAAATTTTAAATAAATTTAGAAAGAGGGGATAGGGTGTGTGTGAAAGCATCTATATGAGTACATCGACGTAAGAAAAAGAATTGCTAGCTTTACTCTACACGTTCCTGTCATTTCTCTAAACTTTTCCCCACAAACTATATAAAGAACGTCATTTAACAAACATTTAAAAAAAAAATTCATTTTGTCAAGTAAATTGTTTATTTATTTAATTAAGAACCAATACAAATAAAATAATGTACATAAAATAAGAATCTCTATGAAAAAAAAGTTACAAACTGTAAGATAACATGGAGTAATTGATTTTCCCTTGTTGGGCCTGCTCATAGCAGAGTAGGTAAGAGTCGTAGCAAGAAAGTACGAGGTCAGGGGTTCGAATCTCTTGGAAAACTGTTGTGTGGCATGGCGATGTGATGTGGCATCATGTGGTGTAGAGGAAACCGGAAGTACGTCGCGAGGGGTGGGGTGAAGTAGGAGAATCCACGTCCGTCACACTTTTTCTCAAGGTCCAAATCTGAAATCGTTGATTTAACCCCACGCATAACGCACCTATAGAAGTATAACTTTAAAAAGTAGGGTCAACACGTTAAATTTTGAGACAACAGTCAGGGAAACGTCGATTGAGGGAATTGATTTGTTCAGATATTGTAAGTTCGCATGCACTGTGCACACATAAACATACAAGCATAAAGATTTATGTCGAACACAAGTACAGGTATATAATAGCAGAAGAGAGTAAGAGAGTATGGTGCTGTCAGTTTTATCGTGGCAGGGCCATCATCTTTACGCAAGGTACCTCGGAAAAACTAACAATTTTTTTAATATCTACTTTTCGGTGACATTTCTGGGTATTACTGATATTTCGTTGACACACTTGTATGATAAATATAAGGATGAAAAAAATGCAAATAATCATCTGCATGATGAGTACCTCATAAGGGAGTAGATACGACACCAAACGACCAAGCCTCCTTAAGCAAAAAGTCTTTCTATTACATATATAAAATTGAAATATAAGTAAAATTGGTATTTAAGATTTTTAAAACTAATGATTTTCAATAAATAACCTTAAGAAAATTTGTAACTGAAGTCAATTTTTCATTTTACACGCGCTAACTCCCAACTATTCTGACTTAAGGAGGCTTAGGCAATTTTGAATTAAATGATGGCTAGCTCTGAAATTCATAGATTATGTAAATGAAGTACACCAGATTTTTTTTATAAAAAAGAGATAGGTAGATCAACACATTCATTTTTTAGAAAATNTGTAACTGAAGTCAATTTTTCATTTTAACTAATTGACCCCACCACAATACACCACACTACCAAAGCGCAAATGCAAATAAATAATATTTTCAAATCTTGAACTTTATTACATACCTCATTCTAAAAAAAAAACGCTTTCCTCCAAAATCTGCACACTAGCTGAGTCATATATCCACTACGAGCAATCAATCTTTGTTAGAGATTAACCTTTTCGTCCTTGTTTTAGTGCAGTTCGTAATTTATCTTCAATTTTAATATTTATTTACGTTTATTAATTGAGTTAACAATTTTTTTTAATACTATATGTTTTTTTCCAAAACTGAGAAATGAATAAAATTATTAACGTATACACAATTGATGCTAAGATAAAATTAAGTTTCTTACTATTTTAATTTTGATTCTATAGATCTTCAAACAATAGAATAATAAGATGAAATTATAATATAAAGATTTTTTATAAGTAATTTTTATAACATGTTAGAAAACTAGTGTATTAATACTGAATTTTGATAAACAAGTTTAGGGAATTATGAATGTTCTGTAATCGTTTTAAAGAAACTTTTATCATACAATAAAAATACATCATGTCATGTATTATTATTAAAAACAGAGTAATGATTAATAAAATAACTTTGAAGTAAGTATGAGAAGTCATGTCTATATGTTTGTATTAGAAACTTTAGTTGGAAAACATTTAGTTTTTTTAAATTTC